CCCCCCCCCCCCCCCAACTCGGCGGCATTACTTCGGTGTGGAAGCAAGATGCGTCTGTAACAGTGTTGAAAGAAATTCACTCCCGATATGCTAATATCTTGTAGGCTCGAGGCGTGAATGGTTTGAAACAAATATATTTGACGAACGTTGGGACATGAAAGAGAAATATGAGGATGAATTGGCGAGGTAACAAAACATTTGTCCTTACACATTTTCTGTTGAGCATTTTGTTTAACGAAAGAATCGGTAATCTGTTGCACGCCCCTCATGGAAATCAGAATTTTTTTGTTGGAGCAGCGTATTAAAGTAAAATGTTTATGTATGTATGCGTGTATATGTGTATATATGTATCGGTTTCTAATATCATTATACAAAATGGAGCAGGAGCACGCTACCCGACAAAATCTGGCGCTGTTGGCTTTTGCCTACACCCCATGCAAAAACTGTGTTTCATGGAGGGGGGAAAGCCAGTGGCGCCAAAATTGTATGGGTTGTGTGTCTGGGGGCATGTAGAATTTTCTTAGGATTAAGTTTTTCGTCAGGGAAGTTACCAACAGCTAGTTGTAGAAATTTTTGCACACCCCGTCACGTGTTAAATATTAGTTATATGTCTTGTGCTTTTGTTAGGGTAGAACCTACACGTAGATTTGTATTACTTTTTAGTGTGTCCTTTAAAAGTCTTAGTAAGTGACTTTTCAGTCAGTAAACTGATTTAAATTAGTCCAATCTGGATTTTTGCAGCTTACCTTGGGTGCAAGATTTCTACATTGGTGTCGCGAGCGAACCAGAAAAATCATGGCAAGTATACATAACCTGCGCTCACAACAAAGTACCATCTATGGCCGATCTGAAGAAAATATTTGGCGTGGACATTTCCTACTATGTTGATTTTATCCAAGAAAGCATCGATGAGGATAGTAAACGTAGCAAGGAATCGCTACCTTGCCCTTCTTATTTGCGAGAACCTATTTCAGGAGATGAGCTTTGTGTGCAAGAAGTGAAGAAGGTAAAGGTGGATATGGAGCAGTCGGCATCCTAACTTGTGATAATGAAAAGCACTACGCAAGCACCTGCTATCATGTATGTTTTAAGAACGATTTACCTAAAAATGACATTAAAGAAGGTCACAAAATACTCATGCTTTTTATTTATTTATTTATTTAGCTTTGCCAACTAGGGCAGGGTTACCACAACAGCATATGCCAATTACTGTGGGCCCTTTTTACCTAACCCACCCTGTCAACTTTCCCTGTGAGAGGAAACCGGAGTACCCGGGGAAAACCCACGGCTTTCGGCAGAGCGTTGACTTTTACTCTTTTCACATGAGGACTGGGTTCGAGTCGCACTGAGAAGGTACTTAGTGAGTTTCGAACCTGCAGCCTCAGAGGTGAAAGGCAAGTGCGCTAACCACTGCGCGAACGAATCCAAAGGTTGTCAAGGTGCCACATGCGTGTTCACAACAGACCAACATATAAGGGAACTCGGTCAGTTTTGCTATGGCTTATACAATGACAACCACGATATTGCCCTTATCGGACTGGACCCAAGTATAAATTGCTCCGACATGGTTAAATTCCTTGGTAAGAAAAGCATTAGACCAGCTCTGGCTAGTAAAAAGGAAGTCAAAGAGAAGCTCTTTGATAAGAGTGAGTTGCCTACAGAAATAATCCGCCCAGAAAAAATAAGAGGAATACTTTTTGCAGCAACCGGTGTAGATGTGAAACGTTGTCCAAGATACAAACGTTGCTACAGAATCAAGATACCAGATTTCTTTAGTGTATCTGTTACATGAAGATGGAAAAATACCATTCGCTTATCTATCTATGGTTAGTCCAGGATATGACAAAAGAAATGTCTATTATTGCAGAAGTTTAGATCACAGTATAGAGGAATTAATTAGAAAGTTTAAGCTACAGAGACGTATCAAACCATGTTTACGAGAGTGTAGCTTTGACGAAAACAACCATTGAATGATATGCATCATTACGTACAACCGTCACTCTGTCACTGGCATAAAACAATTAGAACGTCAAGAGGCGAAATAGAACAATATAATTTTTCTTATTATTACTCTTAATACGGTTTATTAAGAGGAGATTTTTTTGTATGTTACGTAACACGCGCTTAAAACTAATGCTTATAATATACCACTTGAGGTTATGACTAAATTCAAAATTTTTATTTTTCGACACGTTTCTCAATCCGCAAACAAACTTAAAAAGTATGTCTAGTGCTTTATCTGTAAAATAATGCTAAAATGAAGAGATTTTAGATGATACGCCAAAGAAAAGATGATGTCTGAAGTTCAGTAAGTTTTGCTTATATGGCTGTAAATATTGCGTCAATTTTGAAGCATCATTGATAATTGTATTTTAATTGGCAATTTTTAACTATTATTTTATGTTTCTCAACCGGTAGATGCATTTAAAAAGGTAGCTAACTCTATAAATTAGAGAATAAAGCTAAAATAAAGTAATTTTGAGAGGAACGCCAAAAAGATTTTCGGTTTTAAACACTTTTCATTGCAAATACGTGACATTGAAAAAAATTGCCTCTTACGTATATAAAATTGCACCAAGGTGAAATACTTTTTATTTACGAAACGCTTTATACTCCATGAAGATAGAGTGTAAAAATTGCACATGCACTATTAAAAGTTGAAAGGTTCAAATAGATATAATTAATATTATAAATATATAATATTATAAATATTTATAATCAGTCATGTGTGGAATAAACTCCCACAAAACATTAAATGTGCAACAACAGTCAGCCATTTTAAGGCAATGTTAAAAAGCTTGGTGCTAAAGGACATTAAGAAAGGCTGCACTTGTAATAGATGTCTATCTTAAACTATACGTACTTTTGAACTATTCTTATGTTATAGCTATCTATTAATAATTCTAGTATCCTAAGGTTTTTGTATATATGTAGTTGTAATAGTTAATGTCGTTATCATTATCGTTACATATAGCGTTAGAATGTTGAGTAAGTGTAGGGAAAAAACGCTTAATCCGTGTTGCACTTAAAAAGTTTATTTTGTTCTAAATCAAAAAAGCATTGACACTCAAGAGAAGCTCAGATTGAACTTAAAAATTTAGTGACGTTTATCCGAATTGCGAAGCTGCATACTGACCATGCATACTGTAAACCTCTCCATACATTCCAGCTGCATGTGACAAACGACATTATCGCCAGTATTCTAAAAGCTGACTCACATTCATTGAGTGGAGGTTCAATCTGAGATTCTCTTGAGTGTCAATGCTGTTTTTGAATAGCTGGAGGGTGAGTAGTCACATAGTAAGGTATGATACTATCCCTCCAGCTCAGAGGCGTAGCCAGGCAAAATTTTGCCCCCCCCCCCTGATAAAATGTATTGTATAAAAAAGGGACTCCTTGATTATGATTATACAGTGTGTCGAAAAAAAACACGCTTTGGAAATTCAACAGGCTGTCGTGCATCACAAACGTACCTAAACAATTCAATTTTTACATAGGACGAAAGAACAGTAATTTAGCTTTTCAATGATACTCTTTTTAAATCGTAACGATGAAAAATGGCCACACATTACTCGTCAAATAAAAATTGCCGGTCGAAATCACATTCTTCCACCGTTGGGAATTGCATGGAAGACGAAACGTAAACAATTCCCAAGAGGGAATTGAAATGAATGTTAAATTATCTAAAATAAGCTCAACTCCTCACTTTTCGTCTTAGTGAGACCATAAGAACGTCCATTATTGCATTAAAATGGTTCAATTAACTCCTGAACAGAGAACATTCGTAATTAAAACGTTTTACGAAAAAGTATTTTTGCAGCAGACTCTACTCGCGGTGCTTTTGGATTGATTAACTTTGCATAATGAATGTATTTTTAATTCCCAACGGTGGAAGAATGTGACTTCGACCGAAAATTTTTATTTGACCAGTATGTGGCCATTTCTCATCGTTACGGTTTAAGAAATATATCATAGACTAGGAGTTACTATCGCAAGGAAAATGCTGCCTCACCCTCCGAAGGGATCAAAGGCAGCATGCACAATTTGCTGAATAAGGGGCTGTTTATATGATCCTGCTTTGCCAGGACAAGATGTGTGAAGCTGGATTATTTTTGATGTATTGAAATAAGTTATGGTGCACAATGGCTTATTGCATTTTAAAACCACCCCCCACCCCCTATGGAGGATACTGGAATTTCCAGACCCCCCCTTCCTAAAATTCAACAAGAAAAGAAGGAATTTCCAAGGGAGGGTCGAAATTTTAAAGAAAATCTGTGGAAATTCCACGGGGTAGGTTAAAAAAACAACATGGAAATTCCAAGGGATGGTTATACACAAAAAATGTGGAAATTATAGAGACTAGGTCAAAACCATCGGTGGAATTTCCAAGGGATGAGTAGAAATTCATTAAAAATCTGTGGAAATTCCATGGGGTAGGCTGGAAATTTGTAAAAAAATTGTGGAATTCCAGGGGGTAGGATGGAAACTCATCAACATCTGCGGAATTGCAGGGGAGGGGGTCCAAAAAATGGATGTCCTCCATAGGGGGGGGGGGGGCGTTGGATTAAAAATGCAACAAGCCAATACAGCAAAAGACTACAAAAGAAAATAAGATTCAGATAGATTATAATTAACTGTAAATGAAAGGTTGTTCAGGCAACAATCAGGGGCGTTGGAATTTTGTTAGCTTTAGAACTCTGTAAATCTCTTAAAGTGCAGGACATGGCATTTCAGTGAATATAGTTTTTAAATTATCCCGAGGGACATGCCCCTGGATCCCCTACACGGTTACCTGTCGTCACCCGCATTCCTCCCCCACTTTTACAGTCGTTCCAACGCCCCTGGTAATAATAAGCTGCTTGAACTGCTAGATCTTCTGTACAACATTTAATTTCTGTTAATTAACCAGCATTTGAACTTTTGTTTAGCCTTATTTCAATACATCAAAATCATCCCACCTTCCAACATGTAAATAGCCCATAAGATACCTGTTCAGGAAGTGGGAAAAATGCAATTTGAATATCAAACACCTTGCACAAAATCAAAGGTTAGCTAAATATTCTAATTCTACTTTCTTAGCATGGCCTGCATGGACGGTATAATATGAATACTTTCAATGCTTATAATTTCTTACTTTTGTATGTATAATTATAATACTGTCTGTGGCAAAGCTAGCCATAACATTTATATTTGCATTATCCAAATGATATACTGTAGCACATCATGTGACCAGTTGCCATGGCTAGCTAATTGCCACTAAAATACTAAATACTGTATAATATCATACATAGAAATACTAAGTCAGTTTTTGTCCCAATTATTGTTTTAATGCGACCCCTATCACAGAACACCTGAACAATCTGTTTCTGAACAATCAATTAATACATCAGCTTCCGATGACACCATTTATTTATTGTAATGATTAGGATTGTACTCAGTCAGAACTGCAAAACTATATAATAAGAAAGAAATTGTGAGCATTATCAAAAAATATACTATACCCTGAAATGTAGCAACACAGTCAAGTGAACATATGAGTAGGCCGGTGGAATTATTTCATATTATGCTAACAATGGACATATCTCGGACATATAAACAGACCGTCAAAGAAAAGTCGATCAGTTGACATGCTATTACTGCTAGTAAGTTAATATATGCAGACAAAAATCCACACTGGGTTGCGATATAGGAATCTTATTAAGCCTGATTATTAATTACTGTAAAGATGTGCATAAATATTTCGTCAACATCATTTGCCAGTCTCAGCAACAGTGGAATATAATCAATGCGCTCTACCACAATGGGTAGATCAATAGTTTTTGCCTCAATGGGCTCTACCGCAATGGGCAGATCAATAGTTTTTGCCTCAATAGGCTCTACCGCAATGGGCAGATCAATAGTTTTTGCCTCAATAGGCTCTACCACAATGGGCAAATCAATGACAATGTTATTTTGTGCCTCAATGGGCTCTACCACAATGGGCAGATCACGTTTGTTTTGTGCCTTAATGGGCTCTACCACAATGGGTAGATCAATAGTTTTTGCCTCAACGGCTCTACCACAATGGGCAGATCAATAGTTTTTGCCTCAATAAGCTCTACCACAATGGGCATGCAGATCGCTTTTCGTTTGTGCGTCAGTGGGCTCTACGGCCTCTACCACAATGGGTAAATCAATGTTACTTTCCACCACAATGGGCAGATTAATTGTTTATACTTTGTGCACTACTTGCATAGATTAGTCTATGCTACTTGTTTGTGACATCAGATCAATCTCATACAAAAACATGTTCCTACAACATGAAACACTGACAACTTTTGGTAAGTTATCTACAGACAAGAACTCAATACTTGGTTCTAAGACAATTAAGCCGTTATTCAGAGCTCTTAAGTACATTTTGTCCTCTTGTAATAAGACATTGTTAAATGTTGTTTTTGACCAATCGATCAGTGGCATATTTTCGGCTGTTAAAATTGCCGATAAACTCATGAAAGCACACTGTTTGCCTCTAGATTTGGGCACTAAAAAGGTCAGCGCCTTGATGTATATAAGCAGAAAGAAATAAAGCCATACCTACCTGATTTTTCTGAATATTTTCCATCGTTTGCCGTTCGTTTTTAAAAACCTTGAGTCTTGACTTGTCGTCTTGTTCTCGAGCAGATTGAAGAAAACATGCGTGCGCAATAGAAAAACTATCTCGACCTCCCCCCTCAAAATAATTAAGGTACCAGAGCTTAATAATTTCCCCGGAAATTCGAAATCCCGACAGACAACAGCTGAACAGGGGTCGGCGTTAGATCATATAGCGTTAACGTACAGTGACGTCAAAATTCTTAAGACCGGAAGTACTGTGCCAGAAGTGTAAACTTACACGAGTCACAGGGATTTAAATTCAAGGACTTCAAGCAGCAGGCGCGATAAGAAGATTATATCCTCAGGTTTATATCGTATTATTTAGTTTAAACGCAATCTTTAAACTCTAGATTTCGCCACATTTAGAGATATAACTGAAGATACACTTCTGTTATATACTTTACTCGATCTGAAGACGGTTTTGTAATGATATCACTTGCTGTTTACGATAATTGGAGAGAGGTATGTCACAAATTTTAATTCAGTTAATCCGTTAGGTATTTTACAGTGATACAATTTATATTGTTATCAAATTCAAGAGTGGAATTATAAAGCAGTGAAGCCGAAGGTTTTAGATAAAGACCGAACTGCAAGGTTTGTATATGACTTCTAAAATGACTGATTTTGTACACTTTATACTGGCGTTGGAATTTTGAATATTGGTGTTATCTACGCCATAAAAATTAAAGGAGAAATTTTAAGCGAGTCTACTGTATATACTATGATATAGATTCGCTACGGGTCATGAAATTCCTTTGTAGTTTGCTTATGAATTATTATGAATTTTAGAAATATACATATAATATACGTCAATATATACAGTTATACACCAATAGAACAATGCAGGCTGTGAGGCTGACTTATGTCAACTATTCTATTATTTACCCAAGAGTTTCAGTTTGTAGACTTTAGTTTGCTTACCACCTTGCCAATTAGGTAGATGAGGAAACACTTTCATTCGATTATTTTTATAACATTCTGCAAGATGTTCTCTCATTTTACTTTGATCCCACGTAACATAAGTTGGATTCACTCCTTGGGTAAGTGCTGTGGCATTTGCTAGACAAAATAGGCCACAATCAGAAAGGCCTTTCTGAAGTTGTTGTAAAACAACAGTCACTGTAAGTTGTCCCTCGACACAAACGTTTTGGTACAGATACGCAAGTTGTTGCAGTAACGTTTTGTTGAGCCCAGTGTACAAGCTCTCATACACAGTAACCCTACCATGGACAGATGTCGATACCACCCAATGGCCTCCAATGTTATGGCATTGAATAGTCCTACCATCTGCAGTTGCAAAGTCGACTCTTGTTTTTTTGAAGTGAGTCATCACAACAATATCATTCAGGCTACCAACACCAAGGTTCTCTGACTTTAGTAACCGTTGAGCTGCATCCACATGTTCATCTGAAAGCCATTCCTTTTCATTCATCAGAATTTCTCGTAATTCTTCTGTTAGATTAATTCCTTGCACAGTTAACCACGGTTGTGCTTTGGCATTCGACTGTTCATAATTCTCGAGAGTGGTCAAATCAATGACAACAGGTTTCTCTCTTTTATTTTCTTTGTTCTTGACAGAACCATTTGATGTGATGGTGAGATCAGCTGATTTTTCTCGGTTCTCTGCACCAAAACCAAAGCGCTTCTTTTTTCTTCTCTTAGCTTGCAAGGGTAACGATGGTTTTTTGCCACTCAGCTGACTAACTTTCCTTTTCTTGGCACGCTTAATTGGAGAGAGTGTTTTATCCTTTAAAGGAATGTTGTTCTCATCAGGATGGTTAGCCCGTGCATAAGTTAGTGCTTCTTGCATCAATGACTGCAGCTTGGACAATACTTTGGTGTTTTGCACTATATATAGCTCATCATTCAGTGCTTTTAGTGTTGAAATGCATTTCGCTCTAGCATTTACTTTCAGTCCTTGCTTCCTTGCTTTCAGTCCTTTGTATTGAACATCATTTTTCTTTTGTAGTTTTTCTGGTGATGTTGCTGTTTTGATGTTTTCTGCTTGGTCAACAAAAGCACCATCGTTGTCATCATTTCCTTTGCTAGCATCATCGTCTTTGCTGGCATCATTCTCTTTAGTGGCACTGTTGTTTTGGATAGTTGATGACTGAGCAGATGAATTGTATGTTACCACAGTAGAATCCAATTTAAAAAGTGGGTAGTTATTGAAACTTGCCCCAAGAGACTGCCATCCAACATCTGGAAGATTGACCACTGCACAAATATGTTTACAAGGGAGCCTGTTTATCCTGTAATCGACACATTGACAGCTTGGAAGTTGGATATCTGAGCCAAGCCACACTTGGTATCTTGTGTCAGATGTTTCACTATTCACCATGAATAGCTTGTGTCCACAATTTTGAACATAACTGCTTGGATACTCTGGATACATTCTTTTCATGATATGTCTAACAATTCCGTTTGGACGGTTATGCAAAAACTCTGGAACTTTGCTGTCATACTTCCTGTACATTTCTGATGACCGAAGATTAAGTTGTTTGTATCTGTGAACAGTGATAAACAAAGATTTAAATGCAATTTCTGCAGGTAAACAAATAGGTTGACGTTGTGCAGTCGGCTACACAGATGATAAATCACTGGGGAAAATACAGTACATTGTATACTATAGAGTATATACATTACTGAAGATGTCTTACTTGTTGTAACTATCAGGAAGAAATTGTGTGAGCAAGACATCCACCAGTTCTGCTATGGTGCTGTTTCTTTTCCTCTCAAGATAAGATGACTTCAGCCAGTTGTTTTGTCGCTCTATTCCGTTATTAGTGTATATTGCAACACGTAAGGCAGTAGCACGGTAGAACCTCACCCATTTCTGAAATATAATTTTAGTTGTTAAATGGACCGATGATTGGAAATTTCTCTCAAGTTTGTTTTTTACAGGGTACGGTAATATAAGCACTCTTTAAAAATATATCAATGTTTTTATCTTTAAACAAGTGAGTACTTTAAATGTGAAGTACATCATTATGTACCTCTTTATGTGTTTCCCAGTGTTCAGTGTAGTACTTCTGTAGGGTAGGAGAATTTTTCCATACTTCACTGCTTTTAAATGCTAGAGTGTTTTTCTCCAGATCAAGCTTACTGGCACTGCTGGCTATGCTCCGTAGATAACCCAAAACTTCATCTTTACGAGTAGACATGCCATGGTCGATCTTTGATAGCCATTCATTCCAGGCTTTTTCTCTATGAAAATCACACAGGTGGATGCGACATTCTAAAAACATACAACGTGGGTTCTTTCTAATTCGTTTCCAACTTGACAATGATAATTTTGCACTTATTTAGTACCTTCATATAATGGCTGGTGCATTCAGTACATTGCCATATATATCTGTTGTACCATTTAGTTGTTACTGTATCATGTTAACAACTTCAGCATACTTTTAACTAATGGTCCATATTTATCCCAGGGTGAAATCTTTACTCACTTGAAAATGTTTTTTCTATGGCTCCAATTTCAGCTAAGGAGAAATCAACTAAGAAGTTATTTGGTTTCCAGTCAGGATTGAATCCCTTGATCAGTTCCAGTGCTTCCACCAAAGAATCGATGTCTTCATTTTCTGGTATGAACACTGCCACCACAATGTAGCCAGTATTTGCTCGAACACAGATAAAGAAGAGTGGAACAGCATACCTGGAAATCAAAGTTTAATTTATGCAACTTAATCATAACAACATATCATTCCAGACAGCCAAACGTTTGGTGCAGTACTGATGGCTCTGTATAAAGGCATGCTGTACTCTGTTACCTGCAAACTCGGTAAGTGGCATCCAACAAACACAGTTCTTGGCCATATAGTAACAGTAGTCTTTTCATCCAGGCAGATTGGTAGACAAATAAGAATTTTTCCTTGTCTTTGGTCGATGCCTTTGAAAAAGTACAAATTTTGGTTTTCGGAATATTGACCACAGAGTGAGTGATACATTAATATTTGGTCTATTTGATTCATGCAATCTGCCTAAAAATTAAAACTGGAGTAGTGATTATCTAGTTTAATTACCCTAAAAAATATAGAGTCCTTAGGATTTTCTTGTTGCCATTTTTCACACTTAAGGCAAAGATTCTCTTGATCATCAGTTGCTTTGCGGTCACCAGAGCGTTGGGCATTTAAAATGTTACGGATATCGTTGGTAGTTGGAAAATATCTTCTTCGGGCTTGAGATGGTGGCTCTTTTCCTGCAAATAATGTGTTCACAACATAATTATTCAAGTGTCTTTTGACTTCTTCTACCGTCTTTACACCAATTCGATGAAGTTCTTTTATTTTCTCAACCACTTGTACATCGATTGGCTCACGAAGATTAGCTCCCTAAGGTGAAAAATGGACATATAATCAAAGTAGAAAAAAGTTAGTGTAATAATAGTTTTTTCTTGAAATACCAGATCCTTATAGAAAAAATATATAAATAGATAAACTGTAGTTACTGTACCTCTCCTTCAATGACATGGTACATATGAGAATTGTTTGCTGGTAGCTTTAAGACAAATTCCTCTACGATTTTTAGGTCCTTCTCACTTTTGATGTCTGTTTTCAGTGAAGAAGACATTGACCTCATCTGTCTGTCAGGTTTGCTTCCATTTGGGTCATATTGTACCTATAATTTAACCAAATAAAAATGCCTGTACAATAACTGTATGTAGTAGATACAGAACCACTTAAAACCACTTAAAACAATGTAAATTACTTTTATATAACACATTTCTTTTGTTTGTTTTAGTGGGTATTACCTCTCATGTACAATGTACAATACCTTGTAATCAGGGAACCTCAGGAACCGTGAAATGTAAACTTTGCTTGGACACCCCAACTTTTTTGTTGGCTGTATCAAGGTTCTCCTCCTTACAAACACATGGTCAAATTTCTGAAATAAAATCATATTATTGTATATAAAGTAAACTCTCTATTTAGCCTGCCTCTCAAATCAGTCCCCTCTCTAATAAGCCCCTCTTTAAGAGGAAGAAATTCATTAAGCCCCCCCCCCCACATTTACATTCATTTTTCATTTTTGGCTCCAAAATATCCAATTTCATATGGATATACAGTAGTCCCCCTCTAACTCTAACTCTAACTCCCAAGGGAAAACAAAATTTGTTTGAGTTAGCGAGGAGTTTGAGTTAAGTGGAGTAAATTACTATAAAAACATATCCAAGAGAAATTGGATTTAGTTCGAGTTAGCGGGGAGTTCAAGTTAAGCGAGTTCGAGTTGGCGGGGACTACTGTAATACATTATACATACAAATAACAATGCGTTATAATACGTACTATAAACACGTTATAATATAATTGTTAAACGTGGACTTTGTTTGGTTTTTGCAGAAAATCATCTAAGATTTTGTTGGTAACTAAATAAGCCCCCCCCCCCCTCTAATAAGCCCCCCTCAAAAGGACCTGAATAGAATAAGCCCCAGGGGGCTTAATATAGGGAGTTTACGGTAATCAAAGTATTATTTAAGTTTGTATGTATAAAAATAAATAG